AACTAGTTAGCAGCCTCTTTACCAAACAATGGTCATGTGCAATTTTGGTTTTTGCAATTCTCCACCTTGAACCAAAGATTCTTCCATTCATCTACCGTATCAGCTTTTCTATCATAGTCCCAGAGTGGTGCTAGGGGCCCAGAATGGTATATAAAAAGTTGAGAATTTGAACACACTTTAGAGCTGACAGCTGAAAAGGAAATTCAGCACTCGGAGAATAAAGCTCCCCCCAGGAACTCCAGGAACAACCCAGCTGTTGTACTGTAGTTATGTGTCAAGATAACAAACTGAGAGCAGGAAATGCTAACCTAGTGAATTTGCAGGGATGGTCTAAGTGTAATGTTGAAATAAAAGTTAACTCTTAATATTACCTACAGACAGGATACATATGCCATATATATGTGGAGATATACACATACACCCACATATATGCATATACACACAAACACACCTATGTAATAAAAACATGGTTTGCAATCCATTCTTGAAAATTATTTTTGTTTAAATATTCATTCTTTTGAGAGCATACATTTTACAAAGAAAATGTTATGGACAAAGTGAGAAAAATGGTTGAGGCGAGTGTTATGCAAATTAAGTTACATGGATGAAATGAGAGTTACTACCCTTCACTTTTTTTTTCTTTTGCCCTCCCTCTCCTGACCAACCAGATCCAAATAACCTTTACTGGCTGCTAAATTTCTCTTGAGAAATCAAGCAACTCTCTAGAATTGCAGTAATAAACGACAATTTCTTACAAAAACATGTGTAAAGTAACTACAGAATGAAGTATTCAACCCATAGAAAGGAACTGCTAACACATGTAACATGGAAAAATAGCTGATAAAAGTCTCTTTGGTGCCATTCAATTATGGCATCTGCAGAAACACAAAAATCCTTCCAATTATTTTAGTAAAATCTTCATTTATTCATTATTTCAGAGGCTGAGCAAATGGTTTGTGTAAACATATCCTTCGGTAACACGCACATGTTTATTTTAGCCATCTGAAGGCTTCTTCTATGTTTATATAAGCCATCAGACACATACAACCACTCACTTGTGGCTTTGCATTTTCTTGAAAGGGGTGAAGGGGGAGAAGACAGAATGGAACAATAAATTCAGTTTCTCTTTTGCATAAAGCACTCCCTCTAATGTTTTAAAATAGCTTATGTTTATATTATTCTTGGATTGTCCTTTGGCTTTCTTTCATTCAGTTATATTGATCTTTCACATCTGATAGTACAAGCTATATTCTGACTATCGCTTTAAGAAAGCAAGCCAGTCAGGGAGTAACTGCTATATTTTTATACTGATACACTGCTAATATGTTTATGCCCACATAAGTCACATATGCACCAAGGTAATTTGTCCACATGAGAACAAAGCACAAACACAACAGTACCTAGCTTAAGCAATTCATCACCTATCATCCTCCTAAAATCTGAGCCCATCCTGACTACAGCAGAAGTGAGCCCTTCACCAGTATTTTACTCTGGGTTAACTGCAGTTCCTGACCTTTCACTTAGGGAGAAAAATGGACTCTCTCAACGGGCAAGTAACTCCTTTGCTCATTCTTTCTCTCTCTCTCTCTCTCTCTCTCTCTCTCTCTCTCTCACACACACACACACACACACAGAGTTCACAAAGTTCTAAGGTTAAAACAACAAAACACCTTCAGGGTTGCAACCTAATAAGGCTGTGAAAACTTTCCCAAAGAGTCAGCTTTGGTTCCTATGGGAATGCTTATGCCTTGGAGTTGGGGAAGGATAGAGGAAACCTTCTAGCTTTGATTATACTTGCACAGCTCCCTTGGCACTGCCATTTTCAGTTCCAAAAAGAGCTGCATTTGACATGGAAACACCTCAACAGGGCAATTAGTATGAAGCAGAAAACAGGGTGACCATGGAAAAGTGTTTGTACAAAGAAAGTAATGGCAACAAACAACAATCAATCAAAATAAAATAAAGCAAAGCCGAAAACACCCATTTTGGTTTGTCCTTTTCTACTACAGTCTCCAGGGATTGCCTTTTGTTAAAAGGCAACTACCACAACAAAAATAACCTGGGATATTTTCTTTATTCCATTGCGACAAAGGCAAATCATTTAATTCTTTGGATGAATAGACCTACATTTCTTAAATATTTTCAACTTATTTAGATGACTCTAAGGTTATAGCCATGCCCTGAAGATTTTAGATATCTATTATTTGCCTTAAAAGTGCTAGAATTACAGACATTTAGGACTTCTTTTTTCAATATTGTTAAAAAAATATGTTTTAAAAACAACCACAGGTCACGAACTAAATGATAAATAAAGATGTCATGCCACAGACAAAGGCCTATGATATTGTCAAATATAAACTCTATTTGTGTCCATTTTTGAAAACTATAACAAAACAAAGCAAACTGTGCCATTTGAATTTATTTATTCTGAACTGCATCACACCTAGATTTTAAGAACTGGGAGCATTTCAATCACCACAGCATTTAGCACAGTCTACCATAAAGATCAATGCTACCTGTTGAATATAGAAATGTGATGCCTGCCATTACCAATTATGTGCTTTCTGAATCATGATAGAGAAGAAACAAACCAAGATACTGGCTGGGCGCGGTGGCTCATGTCTGTAATCTCAGAACTTTGGGAGGCCAAGGCATGCCGATCACTTAAAGTCTGGAGTTTCAGACCAGGCTGGCCAACATGATGAAATCCAGTGTCTACTAAAAATACAAAAGTTAGCTGGGCTTGGTGGCGCACGCCTGTAATCTCAGCTACTGCGGTGGCTGAGCATAAGAATCACTTGAACCTGGGAAGCAGAGGTTGCAGCGAGCCAAGATCGTGCCACTGCACTCCAGCCTGGGTGAGTGAAACTGTCTAAAAAATAAAAAACAAAAAAAAACCCAAGATAACTTTTAAAGAGCTTTTGGAATCATTAAGATCATTCTGCATGTCATTATCTACTAATCAAAAGAAAAGCTACTATTTTTGAGAGGAAAAAATTTTACCTAAATAAATTCTGAATTTTTTTCTGACTTACTATGACCTGAAACTGATAACCACACCAATTCTTCACCCGGAAGGGGATCTGCAACATCAACAGTACTGCCCTAAGAACTGAGTTTAATCATCAGATTCATTTCCTCCAATACATGTGTTCTGAGATTTATTGCCCACTCACCTTTTTTTCATGGGCTATCAATTTTTTATTTAAAAAATTCCTAGTAACTAGGCAAAGTTATATTTTAAATCTCTAACAATTTACAAATATGTTTTAGAGGTGCTATGCTATTTTTAGATTTAGTAAGTCAATCAATATTCCACAGATTTGGAAGTTCACACAGCTATAGGCGCATTTACAAATTTGAGTACATGTCATCTGGTTTGCAATTCTCGTAAATGTGGTAAGCTAGTATGCAGACATGAGCCATTTTGGTAACTGATAGAGCATGATATGAGTTATTAAATAAAACATGCAAATATTTGGTTATTAAATTCAATTAAATTAACTTTAAAATGTATATTAATTCAGAATATTTTAATGAGATACTTTCATTTAATTTAATTAAGACTTACTAATCATTAAGCGTATTTGGATAAGATGCTTCCATTGAGTGTATCTTCTTTTTATAAGCATATACTGTATTTTTTTCAATAGGATGAATATAATCTTCTTGAAAAAAATCACAATATGTAAAAATATATCCCTTTTTAAAGTGGAAGTTATATCAATCTTTTTTTTTTTAAATAAAGATGGGGTTTCACCATGATGGCCAGGCTGGTCTTGAACTCCTGACCTCAGGTGGTACCCCCACCTCAGCCTCCCAAAGTGCTAGGATTACAGGCGTGAGCCACCGCACCTGGCCTCAATCTTCAAGAATAAAGTTCACATTGTATTCCATTTGGTAGTGAATTAATAAAAAGTCACTGTTTTTAGAAACTTAATCTGAATAATTCCCTTAATTTTTATCTGAATTAAAGTGGACATTTAATTATTTTGATTCGTTAAAATCTACTCTTCAGCAGTTTCTGTGTGAATCAATATGAAGATGGGCAGACAACTCTGTCTGAGTATCTACCTTTCTACAGACACTTTCCACAAAGGAGGATTACAATCAGAGCTGGGTTGGAAAATTATGTCCACTCTATTTGGTGAACTCCTTACGGGACTACCTCATTCTCTTCTGCCAATTTTTATTTCTGATTACTTATGATTATACCATGAATCTAATCATTTGTAATTTGATACAACTTGTTCTTAAATAAAATAAATAACATATAAGAAGCAGCTGACTTTGAACTACTTATTTTCTAAAGGAAATGCATGAGACAATATTAGAACTGGTTTTGAAAATGAAGTTTAGAATAGTTTTCTCAGCCAACCAAATAAAGTCAATCTTCTATGAATCACATCAGTATACAAACAGAAATTAAAACTTAAACAAATTCCTTCTTTAGTTACTGATTCCAACAATCTTCCCACTCCAAAATTTATGGGGGCTGTCAATAACAGTTATATTGACTAACTAAAATTTCTTTCTAGCTTTTTTCCCCTGCTACAACATGGGAACAAATGAATAGTGAAATGGCTTAGAACTAGCAGTAGAGGAAGGAGTTGAAATAAGAAGAATCTACAATGTGAAAACCAATGCTTTTTCTTCAGTTAGCTAAAAAATCTTCCCTAAAGCTGTGATTTCACTTTTCAGGTTCTAAAATCTAAATGTCAAATTCCACCCCCTCCCCCACCAAAAATATTATAAATTATAGAAAACATTTTATAGCATTTAAAAATTCCAATGATTAGTAAGCATATACTATAGTCCCAACTTAATTTGACGTCCCATTTACATAAGAAATAAAAGAGAAGGACAAGGAAAGAAGAATGGCATAGCCAAAACAACTAAACTTTTAACATATATTTTCTGTAAAGCTAGTTAAAAACAAACACTATAGCTCATGTAATTTTTAGGTGTAAGTGTAGGGTTGGAAATAATTAAAATGTTACCTTTGCCAAGTAATTCCCAATGTATCCTCACTGGTACTGGGGTATAAATGCCTGCCGTTTTGATTCATGGTCCAGTCACAAATCCTCAGCTGTCAATTGAAACCTAGCAGTCAGATATGGATCGAGCAGTTCTACAGTTTTTAGTATTTAAATGAACACATGCAAACTAGTACTGTACATGGCATTAACCTTACTTTCCCAAGAGGCAACTTAAAGAAAAAAAAAAAAGCAAAAGAAAATCTTATTCTGAAAAGCAAAATTCCTAGACTCTTTTTTAGAAAAAGCTATTGCAATATGCTTCTCTATTAATTAAAGCATACAAGAGAAACAAGTGCTTAGAACATAACAATTAGCCATTATTAGAGTACAAATTGAGCTGAAATAAAAGCAAACGTTAATATTCAATAGAGAGATATATTTTAGAAAGAAAATAAAACGCATTTTTTCTATGCATCGTACCAAATAATCTGCACTGAGTAAAATAATCAATAACTTTAAGCATGCAGTTTGCAAAACATAGAAGACATGCAGTTTAGAGGAGAAAGGCCCATCTTACAACCATTCGCCCTAATTTGTGTTTAGAAGCATCAAGGTCTTCAGTTTAAACCTTTTACTAATTTTGTTTTGCTTAAACTGGCATTGTTTAGGAAGAGTTGATAAGCGTTTCTAGTTTTATTTTAAACTCAGAGTAATGGCATTTAAAATACTTCACTACATCTGAAGAAAGTGAGGAATGCACTGAATACAAGCTGAAACAAATTCTTCCCAGATCTCCGAATCATCAGCTCTGCCCTTCAGAGATTGTTCGAGTAACCCTATCCAGCTCTGCTTGGTTAACAGCTGCCCCACAGTGCTAGCAGATTTATTGAAAAGATATATTGCTTATTTTTACTCTTTAGAAACTAAACTTATCTGTTTTGGGGGGGAAAACGCACTAGAAAATCTAGTTTTTAACCTTTAGATAGACACACTGTAAGTTAACAGCATCTTACATTGAAAAGATGACTTCTTCACAGTAATCCACTAAACCTTGTTTGCTGCTTTTCAATGAGAATTTCCAGATGATCGTTGGAACCAAAGTACCATAAATTATCATAAATTTAAAATTTTTGATAAACTATTTTAAACATTTCTGATAATGTTACAGCTAAGAAATTGGCTATTAAGCATCTTTAATTTTCCGTTTAGACTCTTGAGCTTATGCATATGCTAAGTAATAGTGATTCAGGAGTTCTAGAAAGGTAGTTTTTGCTCATTTTTCTATAGATCTATGAGGCTCCAAAAATACTAGCTCAAATTTCCAGACCATGTGTTTTAATTCTACGTATATTTCAGGATTTCAAGTAAAAGTGCTTTTATGATTTAAAGAACTGAAAAAATTCCCTGCATATACATAGATAGATCAATAGATTGATAGACATGTAGATTCTGCTCAGGATATATGTCATAAAGAAGTCAGAAATCAATCAGTAAACAAATTAGAAAAAATATATTCTTTTTTTTTTTGAGACAGAGTCTCACTCCATCACCCAGGCTGGAATGCAGTGGCACCATCTCAGCTCACTGCAGCTACCCACCTCCCGAGTTCAAGCAATTCTCCTGCCTCAGCCTCTCAAGTAGCTGGGATTACAAGGGTGCACCACCACATCCAGTTAATTTTTGTATTTTTAATAAAGATGGGATTTGGCCATGTTGGATAGGCTGGTCTTGAATTCCTGACCTCGACCTCCTAAAGTGCTGGGATTAAAGGTGTAAGCCATGGTGACTGGTCATAAACGTTCTTAAAATGGACCAAAATACTCCCATGAAGGGAAAAAAGTATACTTGCTTTGTTTTAAATCAGATAACACACTTTAAATATTTCAAAGAAGTAAATGTGTTCAGTCTAGTGGGAAGCAATATGGCAAGATTTCTTAAAAGTTCTCAAAATGGGTTGTCTAATCAAATTTAGTGTGATGAGGCAATTTTTTTAAGCTTAAAAAATGCAATGAAAACAATCAGAAAACAGTTCAAGAAACTTGGCTTTGTATAACAATAACCTTACTGATTAATCACTTGCTGATTCTACTCTAAATGAAAATGCAAGGGTTTTGTTTAATTCTTGTTTGCTTTTTGAGACAGGGTTTCCCTCTATTGCCCAGGCTGGAGTTCACTGGTACGATCATGGTCCACTGCAGCCTCAACCTCCAGGGCTCAAGTGATCCTCCCATCTCAGCCCTCTGAGTAGCTGGGACTACAGGTTCATGCCACCATGCCTAGCTAACTAAAAAAACAAAAATTGTAGAGACAAGATGGTTCTATGTTGCCCAGGCTGGGGAAAATGCTAGTTTTAAATCAACGACACATTCAGAAGAGGGGAGATGTATATTTAGGGATAGCACATATAAATTCTGTTAATTATTAACTTCAGATTAGTATCTATGGGGCTCTCAGCTTAGGCTGGAGAAGTTTTCAGGAAGACAATATACTTTCCCAAAGCCAGGGGAATCTAAATATCTCTCACGGATTGGCTTATTGTCCCACAGACAACTGCAGGACCACATCTCCTCAGAAGAATGTATTGTAAATTAGTTTTTTGTTGTTAATGTTGCTAATATTTTGTTTGTTTGTTTGTTTTACCACCCCCAAAAATGTCAAGTGGGCTATCTTTGACTATATGCTGCACAATTTAAAATGAACAAATTTTTGGACTTCTCTTTCGTAAAAGCAGTATCAAAAGGGAATACACCTGACTAGAGCTACTCATTTTCATCTATTTAAGATATGTGCAATAGAAATAATTTCTCCCAAACAGAAAAATATGCTTAAGTACATACAAAATAATCAATAAATATATTTAGCAACAATTTAATTGCAAAGAAATTGGCTGGATATTAATTAGTATTGAATTAATTTTAGTTGTTAAAAATATAAAATATAATATAGATTTATTTATCTGTTTAGATTGTACAGTACCATTATGAACATTGTCTGAAGTTTCTGAGGAGACATCCTGTAACTTAAGCCAGATTACTTGAGCAAGAGCTTCTCTGTTCATGTTGTTTTTTTTCAATTAATAAACCTTCTTGATAGTAAAGCATCTTGGAAATAACAAACTCCCTGATAAAGTGAAATTTTAAAGGTGATGGTATGGGTGGGGGAAGTAATTAAATCATTAAAATAGAAATAATTTATTCACTAAAGATTTCCATGATAGTAATTCCCAAGAAAATCATTTCCTAATCTTATTTGACCAAGATTTTCCTGACCAAGCAAATTTTGAACAAACTCTAGTGTATTTAAGTTTTTTGGGGGTCATGTTACATATTCTTAGCATTAGAATAATTCAATGTTCCTAATACAAAATAATTTTACATTAGGCTTTAAATAAGTTTAACATAATAGGTGACAATCTTTTCTGAGTTTGGGCCAGTGATTCCTTAGTTTCTCTCCTGTGACAGAATCAGTGTTAGATAATTCAACCGTAAATTCTCTTTTTTCAAATTTGAAAACTTTAATTTTAAGCGGCACATAAATATGTGCCTTTCATATAGAATTATCCTAAATTCAAAGCTTTAAGAATGCTCCAAAAATTTTTCAAAGCATTTTTCATTAAGAAATAGAAAATTGTTTTTTTTTCTCCCAACAGTAATCAAATTTAAAATACCAAGTGCCACTCAGTTTGGAAATTTAGTCTGTTAGAGTTGTCTGTTTTTATGTGGAGGGGGGAAACAATTCTTCTTTTTGTAACAATATAGCTCTAAAAAAGAACTGATCATATGCATATCCTTACAAAAATGCTCACTTACATAAATCATTTTAATCCTTTAATTTATATGCAGTACCAATTGAAATTCTATTGTCTAGAAAATGCCCAGAATTTCAAAACCAAACAAAAGGCGAAGTAAAAAAGTGAGAGTAACCTCCAAAATGCTATCAGTAAAGGGGTACAGTTAAACCGTTTAAACAGCTAAGGAAAAAGGGAAGGCGTCGTTTTCACTGCATATGTTATTAGGGTGGAGTTCTATGGTCTCTGGAAGAAACTTATTCCTGGCCCAACTCAAATCAGATTGCTTCAAAGAAAAAAAGAAAAAGGATGGGGCCATCTGGTTCCTCTCAAATGGCTACATAAAGGGGAAACACCTAAGATTTGGATCATTATCCTTTTCCTAAACTACACTCATAATCAGGTACGTAGCAGCCATAAAGAATTAATACTGCTTGTGACTTCAGAATACGAGTTTGCTTATTCAAATGGGGGTCCTCCTTTGTTATTAACAGGGTCTTTTGTTAAATGCACAGCAATTAGCTTTGGGAACAAAAGAAAGAAGGTAAGCAAAATGTTCTACTTTGCTGGACTCAGCAAACAGGCTGATGCACTAACAGTCCCTATGATGACAACAAATTTCAATTGAACCAATAAACCATTACTGTGAACAGAACAATCAACACAGGCAAATTTACCTTCTCACTTTTTTTTTAAGTTTACGGAGACCCTCAGGGGAATATCTTGAAAGGTATGCTTTATGTTTTGTTGTGTTTCTTCATTTCTCCAGACCCTCAAGGAAACAGATTTTTGAGGGGTGAAGGTTCTTTTCACAGGGAAAGACAGATGCTTAAAAGGATTAACACTCCAATGTTCATACTTTAGATTAGGAGAATTTTATTTTACTGCATTATTAATTACCTACATGGAGCAAATTAAATGGTCTCTGGATGAATAGTACGTAACCTCTGAAGGAATGGTATGAACAGGAAAAACGGTCAGAATAAAATCATGTTGCATGTTTCACATATAACACATGGAAAACAACAACAAAAAAGATACTCAAATCATCCTCAGATCTAAAAAGTATATTCTAATGCCAATTTCTGAAACCCATGCTTCTTGATATTTAATTTAATTAGCAGAGGTAGAATTAACTTAAATGAGTATGCATAGCCCATGAGCAGAATAAACATTATTAGCCATAAATCATAAGTATTTGAAAATGAAAGATTTTTTTTCATTAGAGGCTACTATAACTTTAAAATTTTAAGGTTTCAAGAGACTTCAGAGCTTACATAGTTCAACCTCTTCATTTTCCTTTCCAAGGTACGGCTCCGGGGG